ACATAAATAGCCCTCCATTTCACCATTACATCAAATTCCAAGCCATCTATTTGAGCCATTCACTTATGCAGGTTGTTTTGCTTCCTTCCTAGATCCACAATCAATTTAAGGTAGGAGTACCTTACATCAAGATCATATTAGAATTATACGGTAATCAGATATAAAAAAACCAAAGCATGCAGTAAAACAAATGTCATGGAGTTAGAGTATTTAAATTTCCAAAACAATTCAGACAAATAGTTTGAAATAGTACTGTAACACCAAATAGAAACACATATGTACTAATCTGAGAAGTATGAGACGATAAGCCTACTCTTAGGTCTACCTATCATAATCGGCAGCAGCACTAGACCCTACGAATAGGAAAAACTATCTCAAAATCCTAACAGGAAATAAATAATAAACTCTAATTAAATAATTTACAGAAACCTACGAGTCGGTCTCGAAGAACATACAACCGACAGATTTTTCAAACGGGAAGTACCGAATCTGGTCAACCCTCGGTCAGGGGAGTCACGGGTATCTTCAAGAAAATATAATCTCAGATTAATTCCGTAATCAAATTCGAAATAAATAAGCAAAAATGCTAAAAATACTAAGCATTTTTCGATTAACAGGCTTGATTCGAGCCTTTCGGGGTTAGAATTTGGCAAAATAAACCACAAAATCAGACTTAAGATATCGAAAACTCTCAAGATAGATGGTCTTGAAAAAAGTCAACGATCGGTCAATGCTGGTCAACGGTGGTTAACAACATAGTGCAGTCACCACTACGATGTAGTGCAATGTAGCTCGGTCTGGCTCAACGCGACCTGTCTCGACTAGATCAGTTCGGCTCAGCTAGACCGGCTCGGATTGGGTTGGTTTAAGTTTGGGCCAGTTAGGTGAACGGGTGGGATCAAGTTGAATACGGTACAAACTGGGAAAACAGGTCAAACACAGGTCAACGGGTTAGTACAGGTCATTGGGTCAAGCATTCGGGTCAGATCAGGTCAGAGGGTCAGGTTGTACCGCTTTTAGAAGCCCACTAAGCAGTGGACCTCCTCTACACAACGACATCGCGTGGGGGCGCGTTCGCAGGCTTTCGACGACATAAAAATTACATAAAAGTTTATAAAAAATATTTTCAATCCTTTTAAGGAATTTACCAACCTCGTTTCACAACGATGAACAACAGAGAGCTTGATATCGACTCGTCAGAAACTCGATTAACCTCACCCATCTATATGTCGGTTACAACGGCAACAAAGCCACCACCACTGGATTCATAACAACACCACGAACACGATGGTGAGGGCGGTGTCAAACGGAGCTTCGATCGACAACAAATCGATGGTTAATGTTTCTTTGCTTAAATTTGCCGAAAAGGGAAGGCTTGATGAGAGAAAGAGTTTTGTTTCCTGAAATGGTAAATCTGAAAAGAAATAGGGTTTCAAATCATCCAAAAAAGAGAAAATGGATAAATTATGTATGGAATCCTTATGCTTTTAATTTTTTTTATTTAGATATGAATTTAACTAAAATTTCATTTTAATCCTCAAATTTTTTTCAAATTTTTAATTTAGTCCTCAAAATAAATTTAGGAAAAATTTAACCCCGAAATTAGGGTGTGACAATTATATCATACGGGTCTAAGTTATATTATATAGATTGAGGATGTCTAGTTGAGACTATATATATCTTATAATGAGGAGCCTATTTAAATTTTGGATCGAGACGAGAGAGTTTTTCATAACAGACGTATCCCGATGGTAAAAATTCAATGAAGTAATCGTGGTCCCACAGAAACTACCTAAGAGATAGAGGAATCAATGAAGATCAATTATTCTTTAGAGGGAGTTGTCATACCGTAGTTTTAATCAATTTGTTTTAAATTAATTAGCTTAATTTATTTTGGCGACCAATTTTTAAGATTATGAAGATTTTAGGGTAATTTTTGAAATTTCTGAAAGTTTAGGACCTAAACTTAAAATTGACCATCTCTTGTCAACTAAGAAAATAACAAAAAGGAAAAGGTGAGACCAGCAAGCATAACCTATAACTTAAGGTATGACTAGCCATGCCTCTACCACTAGGCTAGGTCTTACTCATTATAATAAAATAATAAAATTAAGTTGATTTTAGATCCCTAAAATTCAATTCCCCAATAAGATTTGAGTCAAACCCTAAAACAAAAAATCTTCAAATTTCAGGTCATCCCGTAGCGGTCTCTACGCCAATCTACCACAGTTCGGTGGTCGTGAAGTGCATCGTCCCTGTCAGCGTGTTCGTCATCACCTCGCGATCAAAATCCCGATCCTCCTCATCAAGAACTAACACTGTTAGCCGTAGAAAATCGCTCGAAACTTCGTCGGAATTATAAGTCGTCGCCTCAATTTTTTGCGATTTTCCGTTGATATCGTGGTTTGTTAACCTCACCGTTGACACCGTTGACTCCGTGGGTCATAAATTAATTTAATAAAGTATTCTCAACTAGTTTTCCAATAATTGTTTTCAAAATAAGGTACTCATAAATTAAATAATATTTAAAAATATTTATCAAAACATTATTATTTTATACATTAGAAATAAAAAATATTTTATTAACAATATTATATAATTATTATGCGACTTTTAACTATATTAAGAAAAGAACACGTGACATTAATATAATTTCATCTATAATTTTTAATAAAAGTTATTAGTTTTATTAAAGAGTGTAAATATCCAAAATTATAGTAAGAGTTTATAACTATCATCGTAAACTAAATACATAATATGGACTTTTTTTCTATAACATTGAAACTAAACACTTTAGATTATATAATGAGCATATATAGAAAAGATTATAAACTTAACCAAAAGATTCGAACGAAATATAGATATAAATAAATATAACTTCATCGGCAAACGAACCATAAAATATGATTAAGCAATTGAAAGATCACCAAGAACTCCAACTAAGAGCCGAACGTCGTGAGAAACTCCACGAACACAAAATCATTTATCCAAATTCAATCTGAGGTACATAAAAGAAAAGATCAACATGATTATAAATAAACATTATCTTAATCAATTGTAGCATCGTCAATTAAACCCTAAAATAATATAAATAAAAAGAACATTCAAACGATTAAAAAAAATGAAAAACGTATAACTAAATTAGAGGAAAACGTGACACAAAGATATAATTATTTAAAAGTTTTGCTTATTTAAAGTTGGTAATGTGGGTTGAGTTAATAGTATTTTAATTTTTTTTAAATTAACAATTTATATAATTTTAATATGTTACTCGATTCAAATTATTACTATTAATGTCATAATAAATTTTAATTTTGTGTTATATTCATATTCTTCAAGAAACAAATTCTATAATTATTAAACCTAAATATATTTTATTAGAAGTCATTATCTCAAGTCATGCTTTGGTCATTCAAGAAAATGTAATAAAATTTTTGGAGTAAGGCCAACTTTGTAAAATGGAATACGCATAAAACTGTGGGTCCCGTATCTGTAGACGTAATTATCCAAAATCATTGGCTTTTACATCGTGTATGAAAACGCGGATAAATGTCGGACCAACACCAAAATACCCCTAACTCCCTCTCTTAAGCATCTATTTACTCTTTGGCACTCATTATTAGGATACTTATCTAGCGAGTCGATCATAAATTATGTAATATTCGACTCGGATTTGTTAAAATTTTTTTATTCGAATCTTTAATTGTTAAGCTCGTTAAAATTATACTCGACTCGTACTCTTTAAAAAAATTTGTTACTCAACTCGACTTGTTCCTCAGCTCACTAAAAAGTTTACCTTATTTTTTTAACTAAAAATAAAATTTACTAATACTATACAAGGATATTAGGGTTGGGTTTTTATTGTGTATTAAAATAATATTATTAATTAATAATATTTTATTATTTATTAAAAATAATAGATTAGTTAATTATTATTATTTTTATTTATTAATAAATTAATAAGTATTATTTAGATTTATTTTTTGAATGAGATAATTTTGAAGTAATTAATAAAAATATATTTTAAAAAATTAATGAGTTGTTTACGAACTTATCAAATCGAGTTAGATTTTGTTTGACTCAATTCGTTAAAGTCTCAAGTTTAACCAATTTAAATCGAGCGTTTACCAAATTTTGATAAAATCAAGTTTAAACTGCTCAACTAACCCTTACCATAACGTTATTCCGCCAACCACACCATTACACACCACAACAAATCCAAACAAATAAAAACTCAAACAAATAACTACCGTTCCTTACACTCTCAACGTGGACAGTCCAGATCTCACATCACCAGCTACCGACCCTACCTTCCTCATTCGTCCACGTTTTACCAATCTCAAAAACATTATTTAAGACAAGTTCACATAAATATATCTCTATTTATTTAACGGTAAATTACAAATTTTAGCACTCAACTTTCTTCTAATTCATATTTTGTTACTATAGTTTAATACTTAACAATTTAGTTATTAAACATTCGATTTATTCCTATTCTAACCATTCCGACATTAAATACTTTCAGGAAATTATGAAAAATTATTATTTATAAAAATTAAAATATGAATATTAAACTTTCTTTATATGTTTAATAAATAAAACATTGGTTTTATATTTCATTTTTTATATATAATGTTCACGAGATAAAAAATCAGATAAAAAAATTTAATTTCTGAATATAAATTGAAAGTTATAATTTACCCTTTATTTAATTAACTTAACTTTAATAAACTAAAATTAAAAATTTTGTAATTAAATTTAAAAGTTTTAAACATTAATGAGTCAAATAGAAATAAGGTCAAAATTAAATGATGAAAAATACAATTTATCCTTGATTTAATTGTCTTTTATTAGCTTGGATCTTCCGGAATATTTAAAAAAGAACTTTTAATTTCGTATTCCTTCCACACAAAAAAAAAAAAACTTTTAATTTCATCTTTGATTGCAGTACAGTAGAGGAGTCTGTATATGAATAAATCTTTAGGTCAAACTTTTTAATACTGTTTTATCCAGATTTTAATGGCGACCAACTTGAACTTCAAGGACTTCGGAAATAACCAGCCGCCACAAGCAGCGGACGGCGGTGGGATTACTCTGTTAAGTAGACAGTCATCAATCTATTCTCTAACCTTGGATGAGCTTCAAAGCACTATGGGTGGCACAGGCAAAGATTTTGGGTCGATGAATATGGATGAGTTATTGAGGAACATTTGGAGCGCTGAAGAAACGCAAACATTGGCTTCTGCCGGTGGTGGCCTAGACGGAAATGGAGGGTTACGAAGGCAAGAGTCCCTGACTTTGCCCAGGACACTTAGCCAGAAGACTGTAGATGAAGTTTGGAAAAATATTTCGAAGGAGTATTCCATAGGGAAAGATGGGATTGGAGCCGCATGGACTAATGATAATATGCCTCAAAGGCAGCAAACTTTAGGGGAGATGACTTTGGAAGAGTTTTTGGCGAGGGCCGGTGTGGTAAGAGAGGGCGCCCAATTTTCTGGGAAGGTCAATGATGTTAATGGAGGGTTCTTTGATGGGTTTCAAAATGGTGGTAGAGGTCCAAATTTGATGGGGAATAGGATTTCTGAAGGTGGTAATCAAATTGGATTTCACGCTTCCAATTTGCCTTTCAATGTTAATGGAGTTAACTCAAACAACCACCACTTAGCTCAGCAGCAAACTCAGCATATTCACCAGCAGCAGCAGCAGCAGCAGCTGCACCAGCAACCGATTTTTCCTAAACCTGTTGTAGGATTTGGATCTCAATTGGGGAGTCCTGGAAATAGAGGTGGAACTACTGGGATTGGAGATCATGGGCTGGGCAATGGTCTTATACAGGGTGGACGGTTGGGGATGGTTGGCTTAGGAGGACCAGTCGGGGTCCCTACCGGATCACCGGCTAACCAGCTAGCATCGAATGGGATCGGGAAGAGTAGCGCGGATAATTCGTCTATCTCGCCGGTTCCTTATGTGATTAATGGAAGTTTGAGGGGTAGGAAATCCAGTGCAGTTGAAAAGGTTGCTGAGAGGAGGCAAAGGAGAATGATCAAGAACAGAGAATCCGCTGCAAGATCTCGAGCTCGCAAGCAGGTGAGTTTGCTTCTTATTTACACATTCTTCATAGCTGTTTTTAGTTCATTGTAGTAAAGGTAGACAATTCGGAATATGCAGTGTTATGCTTCTCGTTGAAGTTTAAGAAATGGCCTAGATCGATCACATTTACTTGATATCTCAGAGATTTTTAACTCTTATTAAGGATTAAGGAGTTTTACAAACCATTGACCTTGTGCTTTTATCATCTATGACATGCTTGCATCTCAAACTTCATGAAAGATTGTGCTGCGGTGTGGTAATTTGAAAGCAATCTGACATGAGAACCGATGAAAGATTGTGAGGATTCGAGGTCATGAGGAGTTATAAGGATTCCTGTTGCGAGGTAATGGAGCATTTGTTTCGACAACATGAGGAGTTTGAAGCTGTATATCATATTATAAGAATCAAATAAAACCATTGGTTAAGTTTAACATTCCTTGAACTAGTTGATTTTGTTATCAACATAATGAATCAAAACTGTTATATCTTACGATCACTGGTAAAATTTATGGTGTGCCCTTAGGTTTGTGTTTTGATATTTCTTATGGTATTCACTGTGTTTTGCGTTTTAGGCTTATACAACGGAACTAGAAGAAGAAGTCGCGAAGCTAAAAGAGGAGAACGAAGAATTGCAGAAGCAAAACGTATGTTCTTACCTTTCTTTGTTCCAGTGTGTTCTTTGTCGTTTGCTCACATATAACTACACATTGGCTATGGCAAACACATACATTATTTCTTGACTGTACTTTGGTTGCTGCAGGCAGAAAAAATGGAAATGCAGAAAAATCAGGTACCAATCCACTTTTGTTTATCTTTTATTTTGTAATATCTAAGTTGGGTGCTTAGTTATTTAGATTTGAAGTACTTTGTTCAATTCTCTAGAACTATTTGGTGGCACCACAGGTCATGGAGACAATGAACATGCAACAAGGAGCTAAGAAGCGATCCTTGCGAAGAACAGCCACGGGTCCATGGTGAACTGAAAACATAGTGATATATTGGTCATTAGATGGTTGTAGATATTTAAGTCATAGGGTACTTTGTTGGGTCTTCCTTTAGATTTGGATTGATGAATTAGTGCAGTATAGATAAAAAAGAATACACAATATTGGTAGTAGTTTTTTTAATCTGTTTCTTTTATGGACAACATGGTTATGTTAATTACACGCAGTATCTGTATATTTCAAAGCATCTCAGAGCTCAAATGGTTGGTTCTTGGTATTGAAGATTTGAAGTAATTACCATTTATGCACTCTGCATTTGGTTGGGGTACAGTGCATGAATTTTGTTTTTCTTGCTATTTATTGATGAAACCCATTGTTTTGGACTTTTAACATAAATTTACTGTGAATTAGATTAATCAAATCCTTTCGTTTACGTTTGATTTTTAGCCAGAGTGAGTATATGGTCTGGGCAAATGCTCTGCTTGGTTATGTTCAGGCCATTGTTACTTGGTTCACCCTTCACGCTCACGAATCTAGTTTGAATTCATTTGTTCTAATTTGAGATTTATTCATGTTCCAATTCGTTAAGGAATGTGTGCTGGAACGATCAATTGATGTACCGAAAATCTAACAAAACAAAAATAAACAAGGTCAATAATACAGGAAGAGAAAGAAACATCTAAATTCTAGCACCAAAATCTATACACTAGTATCGGGAAGAAGATAACTCGAGAAAACCTCATTTCTAATTTATATAATGAATCAATCATCGCCAAATTATCTCACTCACGGAATCATGATCTCAAAGTTTGTTCCAAACAAAACCACCCTCAATGAAGCACAACCGATAAAACTAACTAATTCCTATCAAGTATTTGTTCCGCGAACCTAATCGAGCCGTAAATTACGTAACACTAGTTTAGGCTTTCGGTTATTCCCCACATTCCTTATTGGGTTCTTATAAGCAGTATGCAAAATGGTTTTATTTTTGGCCCATTAGGCAAAATGGGCTAAAATATTAGCCATGTACCCCTGGGAAAACATTATTTAGATATATGCCAAACACTACAATGTTTGTGAAACTCTTCATGCTAACATGACGAGTTGCACAAGAAAATATATTTTATTGGAGCCAGATGTTGGGTCCAATATTTTAATATTTCTTAAGGAATTCATCATGTCGACGTGACGAGTTCCATTAATATATTATTTTTTTAATTTAGAAATTTTTTTATTTTCAAAATATATTGAGAAAAAAATCATGAAACTTGCAATGCTGAGATTACGAGTTCCAACAGTCATATTTATAATTTTTATTTTTATTAAATACAAAGTATTAAGTTACCCATACATTAGCAACATTAACTCCTACTTTACATTAGAAACATTAACTCCTACATTACATTACAATACAATAACAACATTAAGTTACCCACTCATCTTAATTTTCATAATCAGTTAACTCATCAGATGTTAAGTTCTTCAATCCTCAATTTTTCTCTCTCGTTTCCTTCTATATATAAATGTTAAAGTTCTTGAAGTTCAATTTCTATATTGTCAAATACTTCAGGAGATTTTGTTTTTGATGTGGAAGGTGTTACAGCTTGCTTGTGATACTCAATAAATGAGTCAACATTACTCACCGAATTGGTAATGTATGTGTTAATCATCGTTCTAATATCAACATTATTGTCCAAATTACCCATTGATAAATGTTGTGGAACCAAAGAGGTTGGAAACCTGAATTGTAGTAAAGAAAGTGTTGAATCTTCAGTAGATCCAATCTTGTATGAAATTTTTGTCATCAAATAAAAAAGTCGAATGTCTCCCTTGAAAGAGATGATGAAAGATTTTTTCTCACAATAAATTGTTGCCATGGAACTGTGTGGTTAAATATTAGAGTGCATCGGAAAAATATTTTAATATAAAAAATAAGAAGGTATGAAATTACTTGCTGCAGAGTAAGGAGAAAGAATTTTTGATCCACTAAAACAAATGAAGTAGATCGACCGATCTGTTTCCTTTAATGCCCATTGATCCGCCTAAAAGAAGCCTTTTAAGGAAGTTCTTTAGCCTTATAGTTGCCTTAAGGTAGTCGGTTTAAGGCAGAGGTAGTGAGTTCATAAGTAAACATAAAGCTTGCCTGACTTGATAGGCGAATGAAAAGAATAACATAATATAAACTTTAACAATGAAAAAGTAATGGCTATCTATATATAGCACTAAAAAAATAGTGGTGAATTAAGATAACGTATGATGAATTATTAAATATGGTTAAAAACATCATTCAATTATCTGATATATCATTGAAATGAAGTGATATATCACTGAAACGTTTATGAAATGAAGCGATTGGACACTAAAAAGTTTGTGTCATTGTATATTAAATGGTTCATGAGAAAATGACCTTTTTATTAAAGGGAAACAAGTCGAAAACATCATTCAATTGTAACACCTTAATCCGATACGACACAAAGTCGAACGATTAGAATGTCATACAGGAAGACTAGAGCGGTTAACCCAAAAATTTTCTTTAAATATTTTATAAATCGTAAATTTGAAACCATTCTAAGTAAGGTAAATCAAATATAAATATATAGAGTTTACATCAGTGAGCTTCCAAAATAAGAATATAAAAATAATATAGACGAGTGTTTAAAATAAAGTTATGACTCAAGTACAAGAAGGTCTATGAATAATACATGCCCTCTAAGGAATAAGAATCAAGACATACTCTGATGCTCGATCAGTATGGGATGTCTACTACGTTATAGGCTCATCGAATGTTCCTCCTAAATACATGCGCACAGAAATAACTTCCGAACTTTGAGCTTACTACCCAGTGTCACACTAACAACTAAACTATATTAAAAGTGTTCATTAAATGCTCATGTTGTCGAGTGCAATAATGAAAGTGAGAATACTCGTATATTACACACTACTCTAGGATAGACATCATGGTATGGTCAGAGGGTTACACATCTCGGGACACACACCCCTCTAGTCTACCTAGGGTGAGGTCCAAAATCTTTACATTATACTCAACATCCGACTAACCCACCCCTCATGAGTTTTTGGACCTCATGCCCTAGTTAGTCATTAAAGTACCTCACACACTACCTAAGGATATTCAAACATTCTATTTCTTTAATCCATCGTCATCTACTAAAGTAACTAGGGTATCCTGATTATTTCCTAAGCATCAACCAAGGCTAGTTTTATGTAATCCTATATGATATTGTTTATAGTTGTAATTGATTATTATCATGGTTCTCACTTTTAGTTTTATTTGAAAGCAATTTGAGTGTTTTCGGGTCCCTAAATATAATTCCCTTAGTCTTATTGTCCAAAAATGTACTGGGATACCAATACTGAGCCCCTTGGTATCAGTATCAACCCATGAGTATCAATATTCTCCCTTGTATATTGATACTAAATGAAAAAAATTAAAGGTGAGATGGGAGGGTAGTATCGATACTCTTTGGGGTATCGATACCAAATTTTTCTTTAATGATTTGAAAAATACCTTGTATCGATACTCCTAATGAGAGTATTATCGATACTCTACCCTCGATATCGATACTCCCATGAGTACTAATACCACAACTGGCTACTAGAATCCTAGTCTCAATACCCCTCATGCGAGTATTGAAACTAGACTCACATATTTTTCCATTTAAAAGAACAATATTGGTATTGTTATTCTAGTACCATTACCCAAACCCATAAATGCCCTGTTTGGGCATGAATTTGACTCCCAAAACAATCCTAAATCCCTTCCCAAACCTTTTTAAAGTTTTATGTAGGAAATAAAGGATCATAATAGGTCTTTAAACATGTTAAAAACACCGATTATGGAAATCTACCATGAATGCTCATTTATGATTTTCAACATAAGACTCTCTAGCTAAATGCATTCTCATAACTCATAAGTGGTATGAAAGAGTTGTGAATATGTTACCTTAGTCTCTTAGCTATTGAGAATGCCCTCAAATCACCCTAGGGTCAATTTCTCATTCCTTATAGACTTGGAGATTTCTCTCACTCCATTCACTAATCAAAGCCAAGTAAATGAGTTACTAACTAATCTAGGAGCTTCGATTGAACTTAAGGACACTTCCTAAAACTTAAATCCACTAAAAATGAGTTGGAAACATTTGGTATCTTAAACCCCACTAAAACCCATTTTTAGTTTCTATGGCCAAAACTAGATCTTAAGGGCTTGAATAAAAGCTTGAAAGTGGGGATGAATACTTTTACCTTTGCAAACCCAAACTAAGCTTATAGAACAACAAGGTTTTGATCTTTTGAGTATCTCTTGAAGAGAAAAAATAGGATGAAGTGGGAGATAGGAGACAAAGTTCATGAAGACTACGAGGGTGTACCAATGTGAGATCACCCAAATTAGTGGTTAATCAACTTTTGTTTCAAACAATGGTGGAATTGCTTTTTTGGTCCTATTTTTTCTATATTATTATTAAAAAATATCCCTATTTAAAATCCAATAGGCCCCAAACCAAGCCTAAATAAACATCTAAATGGACTAAGCTCTCCTGCGAGGTAATTAGGCTTATCTAACCTATCTCAGGTAAACTTGACTCTACTAACCCGAGATTCAGGATGTTACAACTCTCTCTTCTTAATAAGAAATTTTATCCTCGAAATTTACTTTCATAGAAGAGATGTGGATACTGAAGATGCATATCCTCTTTAGTTTCTCAAGTTGTTTCCTTGACTCTATGATTCCTCCACATCACCTTCACTAAGGGTATCTTCTTGTTCTTTAACTCATTCTCATCTTTTGCCAAAATTCTTATCAGTATTTCCTCGTAGGTCATGTCTTGACTTACCTCGATTCATTTTAACGGTAATATATGGGAAGGGTCAAAACGATACCTCCTAAGCATGTACCATAAAACACATTATAGATGTTTTCAAACTCTGGTGGTAAGGTCAATCAGAATGCCACGAGTCCAACTCTCTCGAGTACTTTATAGAGTCCTGTGAAATATGAGGTCAAATTTTGCTTACGCGTAAATCAAAGTACTTTATTCCACGGAGACACCTTGAAGAGCATATTGTCTTCCACGACAAACTCGATATCATTTCCTTCCAAGTCCGCTTATGATCTCTGC